GGGGGTGGTGGTGGTGGTGGGGGTGGTGGTGGTGGTGGTGGTGGGGGTGGTGGTGGTGGTGGGGTGGTGGTGGTGGTGGTGGTGGTGGTGGTGGTGGGGTGGTGGTGGTGGTGGTGGTGGTGGTGGTGGTGGTGGTGGTGGTGGGGGGGGTGGTGGTGGTGGGGGTGGTGGGGGTGGTGGGGGTGGTGGTGGTGGTGGGGGTGGTGGGGGTGGTGGTGGTGGTGGTGGGGGTGGTGGGGGTGGTGGTGGTGGTGGTGGGGGTGGTGGTGGTGGTGGTGGGGGTGGTGGTGGGGGTGGTGGGGTGGTGGTGGTGGGGGTGGTGGGGGTGGTGGTGGGGGTGGTGGTGGTGGGGGTGGTGGTGGGGGTGGTGGTGGTGGGGGTGGTGGTGGTGGTGGGGGTGGTGGTGGGGGTGGTGGTGGGGGTGGTGGTGGTGGTGGTCGGGGTGGTGGGGGTGGTGGTGGTGGGTAGGGGTGGTGGTGGTGGTGGTGGGTGGGGGTGGTGGTGGTGGGTGGGGGTGGTGGGTGGTGGTGGTGGGTGGGGGTGGTGGTGGTGGGTGGGGGTGGTGGTGGTGGTGGGTGGGGGTGGTGGGGGTGGTGGTGTGGTGGGTGGGGTGGTGGTGGTAGGTGGGGGTGGGTGGGGGTGGGTGTGGTGGGGGTGGTGGTGGTGGGTGGGAGTGGTGGGGGTGGTGGGGGTGGTGGTGGTGGGTGTGGTGGTGGTGGTGGTGGTGGGGGTGGTGGTGGTGGTGGTGGGTGGGGGTGGTGGTGGTGGTGGGTGGTGGTGGTGGGTGGGGGTGGTGGTGGTGGTGGGTAGGGGTGGTGGTGGTGGTGGGTGGTGGTGGGTGGGGGTGGTGGTGGTGGGTGGGGTTGGGGGTGGTGGGGTGGGTGGGGGTGGTGGTGGTGGTGGTGGGGGTGGTGGTGTGGGTGGGTGGTGGTGGTGGTGGGGTTGGGGGTGGTGGTGGGGTTGGGGGTGGTGGTGGTGGGGTGGGTGGGGGTGGTGGTGGTGGTGGGGTTGGGGGTGGAGGTGGTGGTGGTGGTGGGGTGGGGGTGGTGGTGGGGGTGGTGGTGGTGGTGGGGTGGGTGGGGGTGGTGGGGGGTGGTGGTGGTGGTGGGGTGGGGGTGGTGGTGGGGGTGGGTCAGGATAGAGTTGCGGAAGCGAGGCGGCATCTCGTGGCGACGACGTGTAATCTTCCTCTCTCGTTCGGCGGGTGTCGACGCGGAGCAACGACGACAATCTCACACGTGCGGGTGGTCGGGCCAGACAACTGCGCGAGGAGCGGCGGAGTGCATCGCCGCGGTGCCTTCTTCGTATTTGCGGATGCGCAATTGCATCGCTACGCGTTGTACGGTCTCTGTTCTGGATGACCAGTCGCACGTGACTCCAGATATTTAAAAGTTTCCATTTGTGCATCAGGTATCCGCACCCGCCATGCCGTTACGTGTAATTTAAATCTGTCATACAGTCCACGCGAGTACTTGCCGAGGAGTGTATAAATGACACACCTCGGAGTGTGATTAGTAATTATTTTTTCTGCGCTTGCTTGCCAATGAATGCTGTTAATCCTGCATAATGCACATGCATATGCAGTACTAATCACATTCCTGCATTTCCCATAAATATGCTAAATTCCTCTTAATATGCAAATTCCTTTGTCAATGCGCCCAGCTTATATATATGCTCCAAGCTCGTGTGCTGTTTCATTCAGACTCTGTCGCCTCGACGGACCTGGTTTTCACCTGAGGACGGCTGCTTGCGTTGTGGCCGAAACGTCGTGAGAATAATTCTATTATGTTTTATTTTTATTATTTTTTATTATTTTATTACTTCCCTTCTACGTGACTTTACCGAAAGAACCAAGAAGATGAATCCCTGCAGTCACGAAAGCTTTAAATCAAAATTTAGTCCCAAGACTGTTTGAAGAGGGTCCTGCCAGGTTTTATCGTGGTTGCGGCCGATGCCACCACATGCAGCCCCACGAATGAGTAAGTTGCCGGCAGCTTTCAGCATTGGGATGTTTGACCAATGCCAGTGACACGGTGTGTTTGTTTAGCTGTGGAATGATCGTGGGAGAACTCAGAGGAAACCCACACTGAACAGGGGGAGAGAATGTACAAACTCCACGCCGAACGGTGCATTGAATACCAAAAGCAAATCAAATTACAAGAGCATTGAAACTGCCCAAGTAATTAAAACGATCAAGATACCGTACACATTGCGGGAGTAACTGAAGTTGTAAGTACTCACCCAGACACCTTTCTAACCACGTTCAAGGCGGTGTCTTCAAAAGACGTTTTCTCTCTTTGATTCAATCACTTCACGTGAAGTCATCTTCACTCGACGTTCTCCCAGGTTCCTTGTTCAAGCGATGTGCTCCGGAACTCGCCATCATGATCAGGAACATCGCAAATGCCTCCTTCTCTACGGGGTCTTTTCCATCCAACCTCAAATCTGGCCCGATTTCCCCCCCGTTAAAGAAACCAAGTCTCGACCCGGATGACCCGTCCAGCTATCGTCCCATCACTAATCTCTCGAACCTCTCTAAACTCCTTGAAAGACGTATCGCCCTGGCCCAGCTCAAACCCCACGTCACCTCCTCCCCCCAAACTAGTGCTCTCCTCCCAGTCAGCTCACCGTCAAACTACTCAACAGAAACGACACTCGCCAGAGTCCTCGATGGCATTTGAATGCTTATCGACTCCATCGCTGCTCTTGTAAGTCTGGACATTTCATCGCCCTTTGACACCGTCAATCACCCGCTCCTTACCTCCCTCCTGAAGACAGACTTCAGGTATATGTGGCTCAGCACTCAAGTGGACGCTGTCCTACCTTTCTGATCGGGCAATCCTCAGTTAGGGTGGGGGCTCGTCCACATCTCCTGAAACAAAAGCGCCACGTGGCGTCCCCCAGGGCTCCGCCACGTGACGTCCCCCAGGGCTCCGTCCTCAGTCCCCCCTCTGCTGTTCACGGCCTACACTTCCCGCTCGGCCGCCTCATCGCAAGCTTCGGTGTCGAGCGCCCACTCGTGCGGACGACACTATTCCGTTCACCGCCATGGGGACTCGTCACACCCAAACGACGCGTGGCACAACCCCAACACCTGGGGGGGGGGGGGGAGGTCGTCGTTGTGATCGACGCGGGCGGGAACGGGCCGTACCTCGTTCCTCCCGTCGGCCGTGAGGATGACCAGGTCCTTGATGGGGTGGGAGTTGTGCAGGAAGATGTAGGTGACCCAGATGCTGAGGAGCTCGGGGAGGCTGGGCAGGCTGAAGGAGAGCTCCAGGACGCAGCCGGACGGCTGGGGGCACCTCGCCGCCGGCATGCGCCGCTGCCCGGAGCGCAGCTCGGGGCTCCAGGAGCGCAGGCTGGACTCGCACGGCCTCTCCACCTCCGGGGGACCTGTCGCCAAGCGCCACACGCCGCGGGGAGTGAGCGCCGGCTTTGGTGGAGCGTGACGGCCGCGGTCGACTACTCTACGTCGAACGAACTCGGAACGACAAATGTTACATGCCGGGCACAGACCGAGCTACGGTGATGATGATGCGATATAAAATAGACGGTAAAACTAGTTCTTTATTTATTTTACCGGGTAAGGATATGATCTGCTTTCGCCTACGTGCAATATGCGCTACACCGGTCAGGTGTGGTTCAGTGGTAGGGCGCGGCGAGTGGCTCGCAATAGAAAGTGCGAGTCAGAATCCTGCTGTTGACTCAGCCCATCATCCCCCTGCATGAAACCCTGGTGAGCTCCAGCCGTGGTCACATTGAAACATTCTGCGGGAGTTCGGACACGCATGACAATCTACAGTCCCCATCTGGGAGAGAGAGAGAGGGAGTGAGATACTGGCTTCACGATGGCGAGGTGTTAACTACCTCGCCTGGTATACAGGAGGTTGTGATTACACTACCAGTGGCAAAATATAGTGATAGGTTTTTACCCTTTCAACTGGTACAACAACTGACACCTTTATACAAGGCATCATGTTTGCAATAACCACAACACAAGCAGTCAAAATGCAAACAAAAAGAAAAGGCCTTTTGGCGTCATCTGGCCCAACACCAATGGAGACTAGGCTCTAAGAAAAGCTGTCTCGGGTGTGGAGCAATCAACTTCAAGGACAGTGCATATCATCATCAGAGTTGTTTCTTTTTGTTTGCATTTTGACTGCTTGTGTTGTGGTTATTGCAAACATGATGCCTTGTATAAAGGTGTCAGTTGTTGTACCAGTTGAAAGGGTAAACACCGATGACTATAGGAGGTTGTGAGTTCGACCCCGACGACCCTGATGCCTGCTGCTGCTGTATATTTGGGGGTGGCATGTCTCTCTCTCTCTCTCCCCGTGGTCAAGTGGATATTTCTCCGGGTCCTCCGATTTCCCCCTCCACATTTAGAATCGACATCACGGCGTTCAGACTATTTGGCTACAAATACATTTCCACGTGAGCCACTTCATTTGTGGCCAGCAGGTCACTTCTGAAAACGAGCTAATAGCTCAGTGGGGAGACTTTAACCTGGTCAAATTAAAATTGTTGTAAACAGTTCTAGGAAGAGGGATATAGAGTCTGTGGAACAAATCTCGTGCGAGTTTTCTTTCCCCATCTCCTGCCGCTGGGGCCCTGCGTGTGACGATCACAGAAGCGATGATCGCAGGTGCTGCCGAGAACATCCATGCGTCTCCTTGCCACGCATGCGTATCTCTCGTTACACAAGAAGAAAGATCTCCACCCCCCCCCCCCACCTTACATAGCGTTAACAGACTTGTCGGGACGAGCTACTTTGGCAAGTGCCGTTAGCGAGTGGCACCTAATGAAGGCACCACGCCCGACCGCCTTTGTCTCCCCAAGTCTGCCATCTCACTAGGAGTTGACAAATTGGGGGGGTACCCCCCCCATCACCCCCCTAAATTATAGCCCCCCCCCCCCCCAATAGGGAACCACCACCACTGGACAAACCGTGCCAAGGTGAGCGTGCAAGAACACCCCTGCAAAGACGTGTCTGGTGATTGTGGTGGGAGGGGGGCGGGGGGTTGGAGCCAAACGGCACGCGAGCGTGCCTGTTCTTGTACGCGCACTCACGTGTGCGTGCGTGCGTGCTAACGCGTGTGCGAGCGTGAGCGTCTCCTACCCTCCGCTTCCTTCGGGCTCCAGTGTCCCGAGGGGTTGAAGGCACCGGGGGACGAGGCGGAGTGGGCGAACTGCGCGAGACGCCCGTCCTCTCCGCAGAGGTCGCACGCAGATCCCGCTTCTCTGGGGGAGGGTCGACGGTCGAAAGACACCGCTCACACGCTCCATCTGCAACACGCCGACATGGACTAGAACGGCGCCGCGGGCTCTCAGCTCGCTCAGCGGCACGCCGACAACGACGACAAAGTTCCACCGGCGGTTCGGTGCCTCTCTCTCTCGCTCCCCATTCCGCGCACACACACACAGAAACACACACACACACAGACACACACACACAACAACAACAACCGCCATTCGCCACTAAGTGGCGGTGACGTCACCACGACGCTTGTGCCAGGCCATGTGCACCTTGAGGCCACGTGAAGTGTCGAACGCCCGCTGGCAGGAGGTCACGGGGCAGACCCAGGTGCCACGGGTCGACTGACCGAGATGACCGAGATGACTGGCTGATGCACCACCTGTGCCCTCTACTGTACCAACTTGCTGTGCTTTAGCCACCCGGCGCTCCGCTCGTTGTTGTGAGCATCGCTCCTCCGCCCTCCGTTGTTGTTGGAGGGCGACTGCCTCCAACTGCCCAGTAGCGTCCTTCACGAGCCTCCTCCACTGAGGCCGATCTTGACACCGTTGGTACCAGTCATCGGCAAGTCCACTCAGCTCCACGTCCTCCTGTACCACATCACTCCATCTCTTCTCTAGCCCGTGCCGCGCCCGTTTAGCCCCCTCGATCCGGCCGAACAAAAGCTGTTTAGGCATGCGGTGGCTGGGCATGCGGGCTACATGACCCAGCCAACGCAGCCTTGCCTGCCGGAGGAGCTCACCGATGGGACTTTGACCAGATCTTTCAAGGATTTGTGAGCTCCTCACACAATCCAGCCTGGTTAAACCCAGGATGGATCGTAGGCAGGCAAGCCTAAATGTTTACAACCGGCGAAGACACACATACACACACACACAGACACACACACACAACAAAGACAAACACAGACACACACACACACACACAACAAAGACAAACAAAGACACACACACACAGACACACACACAGACACACACACAGACACACACACAGACACACACACAAAAAAACACGCCACTTCTCACGGAACAGAATGCGGGCAGCGACCGCGCAGGGATTGTCCGCGAAACAACGGGGCAACGAAGACCCCCGCAGCTCAATGGCGTGACCACGAGACACCGAGCAGAGAGCCAGTTCCCGCTTAGCGCCAAATTGTTTTGTTTTCATGAACGGGGGGGGGGGGGGGTCCTATCCAAGAACTCCTTTGAATCGCACGGCTCCCCCGCGCCTCCGACTTTTTCCTGCACCACGGTCGGCTGCGTACGTCGTGAACAAAGTTCACGACGTACGCGTGCGCACCACTGGCATTAGCTTTCAGGCACGGAAGCTTTGCTTCAAAGCGAGGCAGCAGGATCTAGAAACTTTTCAAAGGGGATGTGGAGGGGCCGGTGGAGAGGGGGTGGCGGAGGTGTGGGGGGGGGGGGGTCCCAAAAAAAAAATTAAAACATTTAAATCGGGCCGTACATTCATAGTAAACATTATTCAAACATTCGATTAACTTTGTCTAATTAATCTAAATAAAACACAGGGGGAGAGGTGGGGCGGACAATTGCACTCATTTCCCAACCATTGGACTCGCCATGAGTTCAAGCTCACGCCGGTTTCTTTCTTTCAGTGGCCCTGAAACGTCTCCGGAGGTACCACCGCTACATGAAACGATCGCAGTAAACAAGAGTATGAACGCACCAGCGGGTTACACACTTTGCCGGATAAAACGAAATCGTCATTTCCTAACGCGTGTCGGTCCACTGCTTGATGAAAGACCCCCCTTCCCCCACGTCCGGTCGGCCACGGGGATATTTTTGACAAAACTAACTCTGGTTCGTGCCAATTGCACCTACGTACGTATTTACGTTGGACTTCTTTCGCACCGTACGTTGCCAACCCATGCTAATCGGAGGTGCGGGGGGAGGACAACAAACTAAACCGCACAACAAAAATTACATCGAAAAGTGCGCAGCTCCAGCGGCTTCCTAATATCGGAAGGAAGAGCGTTCCAGACGGCCGCAGAAGAGCATCTGAAAGAGCGCGACGCGGTGACCCCCGTCTCTGTCCGATTGCGAGCCAGATGCCGCCCCTGCAAGGATGGCCGGAGTTCGCGTGCTGGTGGCGGTGGCCGATACTCCTTGGCGAGATTAAGCAAGTTACTGCGGCTCATTTGTGGCAAGCACTTTGTGTGCATTCGTTTGGAAATCAGATTGGTGAAGTTGGAGGGAGGTGGGGGGTGGTGGATCCAGACACCGCTCGCCCCCACTGATATTCGTTGTGACCAGGAAGCGAACTCGGGTCGCCGGATTCATAGGACAACGCTCATACCCCTGAGCGAGCACTCATCCAACACCGCATGGATAATGCTACAGCAGCAGCGGTGTGTGTGTGGATTTGCCCCTGTAATTGCATCAGAAATATTCCTCGTGCGTTCACTCCAGCGAGGGAGCAAAACAGAACTTGATGCCACACAAATCACACAAAGTTGCATTAGAAAGTTTGGAATGCCCCGCAAACTGCCAAGAGGCACTTGCCACCACGCACACGCGCGCGGCCCCCCGCAGTGGAGCAACGCGTCGTCCACAAGTGGGATTTAAAGCTGTCACCGCTCTTATTCCACAACTCCCATTATCCGGCCACAAATCGGCAGTCCCTCCGGCAGGCACCACACAAATCGCCCCCCACCCCCGCCCGCTTTCTCGGCTGAACCATTTTGCCTCTTTGGCGGCGAAATGATGGAGGGGGGCACCGTCCCCCCCCATCACCTCCCCTGCCCCCCCCCCTTCTCCCCCAACTTCCCCCGCTAGCCCCAAATCGAAACAGAACCACTGCGTCTGTCGGCGGCGGCGGCGGCGGCGTTGTGCGTTGCGCTTTGTGAATGTGGCGTTCCGTGGCGAGGACGGGCAGTCGTTGGTGTCGCCGCTAGGCACGAGCAAAGTGGGCAAAGGCACAGGGCACCAAAGCAGCTCAAGGGCTCTCTGGGATTCATGACAACAACAACAAGAAAAATGCAGGGAGGAACCAAATGCATTGGGTCGAATTTAGATCCAACTCATCACGACTCTCATTTCATCACACCGACATCTCTTGCGCCACATCTCTCTCATCTCTCCACATCTCTCCCTCTCGTCCACATCTCTCTCATCTCTCCACATCTCTCCCTCTCGTCCACATCTCTCTCATCTCTCCACATCTCTCCCTCTCGTCCACATCTCTCCCTCTCGTCCACATCTCCCTCGTCCACATCTCTCATCTCTCCACATCTCTTCCTCTTCTCTCTCATCTCTCCACATCTTTCTCATCTCACCACATCTCTCCCTCTCATCCACATCTCTCTCATCTCTCCCTCTCGTGCACATCTCTCTCATCCCTCGTCCCATCTCTTCTACCCTTCTGTGCCGACGCGCGTCTCTCTCTCTCGCCTCACCGCATCCACTTCCGCCATCTCTATCGCGGCCTCATAAATGTAAAGAGAAAGAAGCGAGCTGGGGCGGGCGGGCGGGGGGACCGGAGGTGCAGGAACACCTCTGGAAGACGTGGCCGTTGACGGGGGGCATCCACTGCAGGGTGAGGGAGCCCTCGTCCTGGGCGACGGGGATCGGCGGCATCGGCACGGGGGGGGGGGGCGCGGTCCAGGCGCCAGCCCTCGTACACCAGGTCCAGGTAGCAGTGCATGCGCGCCACCTGGTTCGGCGTGAATGAGTCGGTGCAGTCATCGTCTGGAATTCCAAGCGGGTCGGTGGGGGGAAGTGATGACAACGGGGGCGTTTAGACGAGGTGAGGGACGGGGTGGTGGTTTGTGGTGGCGAGGCGAAGGATTGATGAGAATGAAGGTGGGGGGGGGGGGAAGAGGGTAGAGACATCATTGTCGCACTCATACCGCAGGTATTGCTCTACGTGACATCTGGGGGAAATGCAAGGTCATTCATACGTACCCTTGCGTTGTTTTTCTTCTTCTTCTTCTTCTTCCAATGAATCATAACACAAAATGTAACATGACTGGTGGCTCATCGGTCTACGTATTTATACCATTTTAACATGAAATATCGATGCAATAATATACGGATGGAATTGTGTGCAAATGACCACAAATGTATGCAACACCGCGTATCCTGTACAAAATTTGAGGACAGTCCGTTTTAAGTAATCTCACGTAGCCTCCATATTGCGTAACAACAAAAGGAAAAAGCCTTTGTTTACGTGGTGCACAATCGATCATTCGCGTTGATTCTATCCAAGTCCTGCTTACCCACCACACCAAGGACGGCGCCCCAATATTGTCTCCGTTTACAGACCCTCCAAAACAGAATACAAGTGCGATTATCGGACGCGTGTCCCTGGGGCGGCTTTGATCGGCGAAATTGAAACCGTTCGTCCGCCTTGGCCAATTTCTTTGTCATGGCCAGCACCCAGCAGCAGAATTGGCTGCTCTCAACATCCATGTGACAAGCCACTTCGTTGGAGCTATCGTTCGTGGGCAGGTCGCTTCTCAAACAAAAGCTATATTGCTCAGTGGTGGGGCCTTACCTGACAAGATAAAAAAATAAACTTTATATAGTTGAAATGTGAAATCCGACATCTGCTGTGTAAAATTTCGATTTAAAACTTTCGCGACGACGTTGTTTTGTACACGGCCGACTGAAGTCACTTTAGAAGCACAGCAGCAGCAGCAGTTATAATAAGGGCTTCATCAGATGACGCGACCCCAACGGGTAACAGGCGAACTACCGATTGCTTTTTGAGCGCACACTTTACAACGGCACGGAGGAGTGGCCGCTGGTATTAGGCGCGTGAGCGCGAGATATTTTTTTCTCCGAACAGATCCGACGGAGGGACACACGCATGGACCCAAAGTAACCCCAAGAATGGGCGCGTAGCCTCACCTCCGTAGCCCATGTAGTTGTTGAATGGCGTGTGCTGAAAGTGGCGCTGGCCGCAGGTGTCGTTGCGAGGCTCCGGGTCGTGGCACAGCTTGTTCTGCGGCGTAGGGGCCGTGTCGGCGCACAGGTCTCCCGTCTCCAGCGACGGCGTGGTCTCCCGACAGGGGTCGTCGCAGGATTCGGTCTCCGACACCCCCCGGAAGACGTGGTACAGTCCGAGGACGTGGCCCAGCTCGTGGATGATGGTGTGCGTGTGGCCGGCCTTGCCATAGTACGTGGGATTGAGCACCACACCACCTGCTCGTTCCCAACGATTAACAACGACGATTGATTATAATCGATACGCAATCATCGGCGTGGCAGACACTGACGGCGAGATGGAGCGCCGTCGCAGACGGAAATTACAGGAGGCCCAATTTTAAAACACGCGATTAAAGCCGTGGACAATTGCAGCCACTTCAATTGTGGCATTTATCATTTAGATGGAGCAAAAAACTAATTCCATCTCCGTCAAAATATAGGCAGCCATTGTAACATCATCAGATTCCGGATTGTGCCGTTTTACCATTTTCGCACTAATTACTGTACACAACGAGCACCCTTGTTTATCCCAATGAAGCCGAATGGCCATCCTGCAAAACGACACACGCATCTCACAATCTCTGTCGCTCACGGGGCCGCAAGCCAGACGGTGGTTTTACACGCCGTGCCCAACCGGAGTTCTGTTCCCGGCGGGGCGAAACACGAGCGCGGGGCAAGGGATCTCTGAACACGTCCCTCGCACCCACACCTCTACTCCCCCCCCCCTCCTTCGTCGCAACCTGCACAGACCCCGTTGTATGGTGAACGAGCCCCATGTCCGACAAAGCGTGGAGAGAGGAGAGGCATTCATTCAGCAGCGGACGGACGAGGGCACTGCAAATTAGTCCACATTCTCACGTTACGTCTCGTGAATGATTATTAACTTATCGTGAAAACTTCTCTGCTTGTGCTAATTGTTTTGGTGCCATTTCTTAATTTGTTTATTCATGATAATTGGTTTTTAACCCTTCTTTCTGGCAACAAAACTGACACCTTTTTACAAGGAGTCATATTTGCATAGACCACAATACCTGCAGTCACCCCCCGGGGTCACCCCCCCCCACCCACCCCCCATGGATTCAGGACCACTGTAATAGGCTCCGACTGCGAGTCAAGTTCAAGTCGATGTACTAGGTGTAGCCCTGTGAGCCATTCGGCTCTTGAATCGGGTGCAAACGCAACAAACAAAAAACATGAACAAGAAAACATCTTAAAGTGAATATGTGACTAAGTGCAAACAGAAAATCCAAGAAAAGACAGCAAAATATTGCAGAAAAAACACCGTTACACACCAACACTGTGTGCAAAAATCCCAGTGGGATGCAAGTCAAACAACAACAACAACAACAACCACAAGACAACTTAGATCAAGGCCATCAGTGCTACTCCGTACAACAACAAACATCGGCTCATACCGAGGTGGGTGAGGGCATTCTTATCCCAGGGCCAAGTGGCCACTCCGGCCAGGTCCTCGCCGGCGGAGTTTGCGAAGTAGACGTTGAGATGCGTCGAGCCGTCGAGCATCAACATCTCCTGGAGCTCCTCCACATCCAGGTAGATCCTTGTTGGACGCAGAAACAACGCGCGGCTTGTCAAACAACGCGCGTCTCGGACAGTCATTCCACAAAACTGCTCCTAACCTAGAACAAACACCGAATATCACTTTTGACAATTAAAAATATAATAGAAGACACGCATGTTAAAACGGTTGAATAATTAATGTAACACTGGCAATTAAACATTTGATTTGTTAGTTCTTAAAGTCAATATCGTATCTTTAACACGTAGGGGCTTTCGTGACCAATATTATTCATAATAAAGTGTTTGGGTTAGATCGCGACACATTTAAAAATAATGCGATCTCACCCAAAAACGTGTATTATGAATAATATTGTATCTGTTATCGTTATTAAAAAAATTCTACTTCTTCCTTTATGACCAAGAGTCGTGAATACTTTGCGATGATGAGGCTCAAAGATGGAGAGCAGGACGATCCTGGGAAAGGCAGGACATGGTGGCGGCAAACCTGGCCCTCGGCGGCGATCTTCGGCGACCAACTCGGAACGGTGTCACACCTGGTGACCGGCGCGATCGTGCGCATTGGTCACGCGCGCGCGTTACCTCTGCGGTATTTTCCATAAAAAAAGTTAAATAAAATTGAAAAAAAACCTCATACGCGACACGCGCACACACGCGCACACACGCGCACACACGCGCACACACGCGCGCCGCACCTGTTGGGCGACTCGGGATCGAAGCAGGTCTCCGTCACCTTGCCGGAGGTCTGCTCGCAGCAGTCCCCGTTGTCAAACGCGTTTTCCGCCATGTTGCACTCGGGGTCGCAAACGCCGTTCGCCATCGCGTCCCAATCGCAATCGGCCGCGTGCCCCGACGACGAAGATGACGACGGCGGCGAGGAGGAGGACGATGGGTGGTGGCCGGAGGGTGGCTGGCAGTCACCCCCATCGTAGCCGGTCAAGGGGTGGCTGCACTCGGGGTCGCAGTGCCCATCGCCCACCTTGGCGTGCTCGCAGTTGGCCAGGATCATGCGCTGGCGCAGCGAGGCATTAACAACGTCCACGACGGTGAGCTCCCAGGAGATGTTGTACCTGCGCGCGGGTTCGCAGAAGTCAGGTGGTGGTCGTGCGGCACAAACAAACGTCAGCATTACCGGTACACGATAGATTGTTTTTGGGTTGGGCCACGTAGATTATGTGGCCAAATGTTCTGTCGAGAAACTCTCCTCCGTCCGACAAATGTAGTGGTCACGTGGTGTACAAGCTCTTGACGTTGTTTCGGCTCACTGGTAAAATTGAAGAGCAATTCCGACAGCGATCACAAAAATAATGGAAACAACAATCATTGCCACGTCAGGCACTTGTACACACCTGTGACAATTTAATTAGTTTGAGAGATGTCGGATGGTGCAGGAATTTGCTCCACACACACAAGACAAAGATCCCCTGCATAGCCTTCACAGGCTGTTGGTGCAAGTGCTGTTAGCGAGCAGCACCTATGAAGGCTGGCACTGCACACGAGGGGGGGGTGGCCAGCACCACGCACGGCCGCCTTTGTCTCCCCAGTGGCAATGTTTACACACTGCACCAGGTACTCATTTGAGGCTGAGTCGACCTAGGGGAGGCCCAGGAGCGGTTAAAATAATCGTCACTGGCGGTGGCCGTGAGCGGGAATCGAACTCGGGTCGCCGGGTTCATAGCGCAGAGTAGCGCTAACCGCTACACCGCCGCTCCCCACGGTCACACGCACGTACACGCACGTACACACACGCACGTGAGGGGGTACCCCCACACACGCGGGCCGCCCGCCCCCACCTTTGGAAGGCCTGGTTGAGCACGCGGTGCTGCTCCTCGACCTGCTCGCGGCTGACCGTCGGGTTTTCGCCGGGGGCCCCGTAGACGTTGACCAGGCGGTAGCGCGCCACCTTGGGCTCGCGCAGCGGCCAGTGGCCGTCGTAGCTGGAGACGACGCGCACGTCGTCGCACGCCGTCCGCCCGCACGGCGGCGGGACCGGCACCGGCTCGGCCGCCGTCCCCGCGCCGCTCGCCCCCACCGACCGGACGGTGGGGTAGGTGCCCCCCTCGACCGTCGACCAGCCGCCGTCCTCGAGCTCGCCGAAGTCGTCGCCGCCCGCGACTTCCGCCGCGGGCGCGTCGCCGTCGCCGCTGGAGCGGACCCCTCGCTCGGCCCACGCGCGGATCTCGCCGGAGCCGAGCGCCCGCCGCCAGAGCCGCAGGCCGCTCAGGAGGCCGCGGTAGGCGCGCCCGCCCCGCGCGTTGTCGCCACCCGCCACCAGCGTCTTGCAGACGGCCACCCCTGGGGCGAAGAGCGGCCCTGCGCGGCCCGGCACGCGAGACCCGGCCACCCGCGCGCCGTTCACGAAGAGGTCGAGCCGCCGGCCGTCGTAGGTGGCGGCCAGGTGGGTCCACTCGTCGGGGACATAGCGCCGGGGCGATGCGAGTGTCGTGGCCGAGCGCGAGTTGTCGGCGCTCAAGGAGAAGTAGAAGCGCGAGCGGGTCGGGGCGCGGGCGTCCGCGGCGGCGCCGCCGGGGCGCGTCCCGGCGGGTTTCGCGTGGACGATGCCGAGCGACCATCCCTTGTCGTGCCGGCCGTAGAGGCAGTCGTGGAACAGGCCTGCGGACATAACGACGCCGGGTGCCGTGAGCGAGCCAGCGTGGCGGACCGCTAGAACGTGCGCGCGAGTGTCGGTTCGCGAGGTTGCGTGTCGCCGCCTTCGTGAAGCGATGGCAGACGCTTCCAGCGGTGCGGTCTGGTCTCCCCGTGGGGCAGCGGTTCTTCACCTTCACTGCAGCCTTGCACCCCCATTGGTTCTCAAATCATAAAAAAATGCATATTATTAATAAACAGGGTTTCATCTTCTTGGTTCTTTCGGTAAAGTCACGTAGAAGGGAAATAATAAAACATAACAAAATACAATTCTCACGACGTTTCGGCCACAACGCAAGCAGCCGTCCTCAGGTGAAGAACAGGTCTGTCGGAAAGACAGCGTCTGAATGAGCACCACCATGCTTGGAGCGACTATTTAAGCTGGGTTGGAGGGGGAAGAGCGCCTTGACAAAGGAATTTGCATATCAAGAGGAATTTAGAATATTTATGGAAAATGCAGATATGGGATTAGTCACTTCTTGTGGAATGCGTAGGAGGTGGGAGGGGGTTCAAAGTCATATTATGCCCGTGCATTATGCAGGATTAGCAGCATCAAAGGGAGGGAGTAGGGTTAGCATTAATAAAGGCAAGGAATGTTAATAGTATGGAGCTGCATACTATCAACAACTTTGATGAAACAAAGTTCTTGTACTTGCATGCACGTGCTTAATGTGTGTTTGACCTTCCAATAAAAGTGCGCTTCTCGTGTCTCGCACCTCCAGAAAAGCAATCCCCTGGGGGGTGCGTGCACCCCAGACGATCGAGGCCGTACTCACCAACTCAAGCTCGAAGACATCTCAAGATCTGAAGATGGGACCAGTACTCACCAACTCAAGCTCGAAGACATCTCAAGATCTGAAGACTGGACCAGTACTCACCAACTCAAGCTCGAAGACATCTCAAGATCTGAAGATGGGACCAGTACTCACCAACTCAAGCTCGTAGACATCTCATGATCTGAAGACGGGACCAGTACTCACCAACTCAAGCTCGTAGACATCTCATGATCTGAAGACTGGACCAGTACTCACCAACTCAAGCTCGAAGACATCTCAAGATCTGAAGACGGGACCAGTACTCACCAACTCAAGCTCGTAGACATCTCATGATCTGAAGACGGGACCAGCACTCACCAAATTTCGATTTAAAGCTTTCGTGACTGCAGGGATTCATCTTCTTGGTTCTTTCGGTAAAGTCACGTAGAAGGGAAGTAATAAAATAATAAAAATAAAACATAATAAAATAAAATAATTCTCACGACGTTTCGGCTACAACGCAAGCAGCCATCTTCAGGTGAAGAATGAGACACTGCCAAGCTAGGAGCTTATATATACACTGGGTTGGAGGTGCAAGAAGAGCGCCTTAACAAAAAGAATGTGCATATCAAGAGGAATTTAGCATATTCATGGGAAATGCGTAGGAGGTGGGCGGGGGGGTTTCAAAGTCATATTATGCCCATGCATTATGCAGGATTAGCAGCACCAAGGGAGGGTGCAGGGAGTAGCATTAACAAAGGAAAGGAATGTTAATAGTGTGTAGCTGCAGTTACTGCCCTGCCCCCAGACGACCTGCTTGTCAGTTTTGATGTGGTTTCCTTATTCACCAAGGTTCCTGTACCTGACACCATCGCAATCATTGAAGACTTGGTTCATCAAGGACTGAATGCTGGGGTACCCCCCCTGGTGAGACACTGCTTAACCAATACATACTTCACCTGGAATGGAACTTTCTACAGGCAAACTGAGGGCACCCCAATGGGTTCCCCCCTATCTCCGGTTGTAGCCAACATCTTCATGGAGAAATTTGAGACTGACGCCATCCAGACTGCCACTCTACGCCCGACCTTATGGAAGAGGTACGTAGACGACACTTTTGTCATCTGGCCACATGGCCGGCCTGCTCTAGACCAATTTCTCGACCACATCAATTCCATACACCCAGCCATCAGATTCACCATGGAAGTCGAAAACGATGGCAAGCTACCCTTTTTGGATGTCCTAATTCAAAGGAGACCTGATGGTTCAATGAGCCACTCTGTCTACAGGAAAGCCACCCATACGGATGCTTACCTAAAACCGGATTCCCACCACCATCCATCCCAGAAGAATTCCCTCATCAAGACTCTATACCATAGAGCCCAATGCATCTCCGACCAGGAACACATTGCCAGTGAACTCAAACACGTACGCCAAGCTCTTAAGGCTAATGGTTACTCCGACTACACAATCCGCAAAGCCATCACTCCAACCATCAAGAAGGATCCTGTTGAGGAGCCTTTCAAGACCATCACCTTACCCTACATAGCTGGGGTCACAAAAAAGATCTCCAAAATCCTGATTAAACACAAGATCCAGGTCCGATTCAACACAGTACATAAAATCCGTGATCTGGTCCCGTCTGTAAAAGATGTGGTTCCAGACATACAGTACCCTGGCGTCTACAAACTAAGTTGCCTCTGTGGTAGCAGTTACATTGGGGAAACCAAACGACATATCTCGGACCGCATCCGTGAACATAAAGCAGACCTGAAACACGGTAGGACAAACACCTCGGCCGTGGCAGATCACTGTTACAACTCAGTGGGCTCACATGACATTGACTTCTCCAAGACAGAGGTTCTCTGCAAGCCATCTGGCTATCATGAGAGATTCGTTCATGAGGCGATCCACATATACAAACACAGAGACAATTTTAACCGAGAAGATGGATTCTGGCTTAGCAATCATTTGAAGGACGTAATTAACCATTTCGGATCTTAACTGATTGTGTTCACGTTTACGGTGACTTTCAGACCGCGTTCCACTCACTGGCATTGTATTCTCCGCAGGGAATGGATTCTTTGCTCCGCTGCAAGTTTTCCTCCCACGTCTCACCCATTGACACGACGGTTAATGGTACAGTGTATAATACCAAATAGTATAACATTTATATGCTTAATACAATGTACAAGTAATATATAGTATCGTAATTGTATAGTTAACATATATCAGTGTGATACACATTAGGGTGGGTAGAATAATACATAGTGTTATATTAAAATGTATAAGGTATAGGGTGGTTTATAGCAATACAGTATATAATTTAATGTTGGGTTTATCTATGGCAGTATATAATACGGTGTATGCTCGTGTGATGTAAGAGAATAAAGTTTAGATGGAAGCATATTATATAATTTTAACGACGTAGAATTGTAATGTATTACTTGCTGTTAGTAACTCAGCTTATTGTAGAGTATAGTAAGTATACTGATGGTGCTATGCAGTTTATACTTTAGTTTTTTATGTAGTTTATACTTTAGTTTTCTACGTGGTTGTTTAGTAACTGCAGCTACATACTATTAACATTCCTTTCCTTTGTTAATGCTACTCCCTGCACCCTCCCTTGGTGCTGCTAATCCTGCATAATGCATGGGCATAATATGACTTTGAAACCCCCCCGCCCACCTCCTACGCATTTCCCATGAATATGCTAAATTCCTCTTGATATGCACATTCTTTTTGTTAAGGCGCTCTTCTTGCACCTCCAACCCAGCATATATATAAGCTCCTAGCTTGGCAGTGTCTCATTCTTCACCTGAAGATGGCTGCTTGCGTTGTAGCCGAAACGTCGTGAGAATTATTTTATTTTATTATGTTTTATTTTTATTATTTTATTACTTCCCTTCTACGTGACTTTACCGAAAGAACCAAGAAGAGTACTCACCAACTCAAACTCGAAGACATCAAGATCTGAAGACGGGACCAGTACTCACCAACTCAAGCTCGAAGACATCTAAAGATCTGAAGACGGGACCAGTACTCACCAACTCAAACTCGTAGACATCTCATGATCTGAAGACCCGACCGGCACCCGGGGACGCTCACCCGTGGCTCTCGTTAAGCCGGTTGTAGCGGTCCAGGGCGAGTCCCGTACCCTGGGTGGGTCGGTTGGTCCGGCCTTCCCTTAGCCGCCGTCGCAAGGGACCGGCGTGTAGTGTAGCCCGAAGTGGGTAGAGAACGCTAGGAGGGAGGCTGTCTCTCCCTTAGGCTATCGAGTGGAAGGAGTCGTACCCCTCCGTGTTAACAGAGTAGTGTGTCACAGTAGTGTCACAGTAGTGTCACAGAGTAGTGTCACAGAGTGTTCAGAGTTGTTATAATAAACGTGTTGCCTCCAGCAGACGTCTCCGTGCGGTTAGTTACAGGACACAACACTTACGCAATATAACTCAAAAACCTTTCTTATGAATAACTAGCAGTAAGTACCCGGCGTTGCCCGGGCGAAAAAGACAGACACACACATCGACCTACACACACAGATATTGACCCACACACACAAAGACATCGACTTACACAGACACACATATGGACTCTCACACACACACATACGTAGACTCACACATACATCGACCCAAGCACACATATGGACTTACACACACACATATCGACTAAGAGACACACACATGGACCCACGCACACACATCGACTAACACGCACACACACATATGGACTCACACAGACAGATATCGACTTTAGGCACATACACATGAAGTTACACACATCGACTCACACACCCACGTAGACTTACACACACATATGGACTCACACACACACATACATAGACTAACACACACATTAACCTACACACACATGGACTTACAAAGACACACATCGACTAAGAGACACATGGACTTACACACACATCGACTAAGAGACACATGGACTTACACACACACACACATGGACCGACGCACACACATCGACTTACACACGCACATAGAGCCACACACGCACACATGGACTTACGCACACACACACATGTACGTATACACACCAACAACCGCCATTCGCCACTAAGTGGCGTTGACGTCATGACAATGCTTGTGCCAGGCCATGTGCGCCTTGAGGGCACATGGCCTGGCAGGTCACGGGGCAGACCCAGGTGCCACGTGTCGACTGACTGAGATGACCGAGATGACTGGCTGATGCACCACCTGTGCCCTCTACTGTGCCAACTTGCCGTGCTTTATCCACCCGGCGCTCCGCTCGTTGTTCTGAGAGTCGCTCCTCCGCCCTCCGTTGTTTTTGGAGGGCGAGTGTCTCCAACTACCCAGTAGCGTCCTTCACGAGCCTCCTCCACAGAGGCCGATCTTGACACTGCTGGTATCAGTCATCGACAAGTCAACTAAGCTCCACATCCTCATGTAGCACATCATTCCATCTCTTCTCTAGCCTGTGCCACGCCCGTTTAGCCCCCTCGATCCGGCCAAACAAAAGCTGTTTAGGCATGCGGTGGCTGGGCATGTGGGCTACATGGCCCAGCAAATGCAGCATTGCCTGCCGTAGGAGCTCACCCATGGGACTTTGTCCAGATCTGTGAAAGATTTGTGAGCTCATCACACAATCCAGCCTGGTTAAACCCAGGATGGATCGTAGGCAGGCCAGACTAAATGTTTCTAACCGGCGAAGATGTTCCATTAGGGGGGTCCAAGTTTCGCAAGCATTGAGAAGGGAATGACCGTGGGCGAGAAGACCTGAAGCTTCGTGCGGAGCGAGAGAGCAGGTAGCTTCCACACAGTGTAACACAGCCAATGAGACCTCTGCTGTGAAACCGGAACCGGTCTTGAACACACTGGCCAGGTATGGGAAACTCTCAACTCTCTCCACAACTGCCCCATCAGCAATTGAGAGTTGTGGGGTGGATTGTCCGATGGTACAAAATAGCCAGGCAGGTGCTTAGTTTTGGTGGGGCTGATGGTAAGGCTCCACCTCTTAGTAGCAAGCTCCAGGTTCAGCAGCAGCGCGTCCAACTTCTCCTCTGAGTGAGTATCAATTAGCAGATCAATGGCATACGTAACATGCTAGACCAATAGGGAGCCATCCCTTGACCGCACACGGGCATCGATCAGCCTCCCATTGTATCTGTACCAGATGGGAATTCTTTCGGTAGAGCTATTGAAGGCTTCACGAACTGCGCGGTCCAAATATAAGTAAAACAATGTGGGAGCCAGAGGACATCCCTGTCGCACCCCAAGGTGTAGAGGGAATGGCTCTGACTCACGGCCACGTAGTATGATGTGGGGCCGCTCACCATCATGAAGGTCCTTAAGGATCGTGAGCAGTGGGTCAGGGACTCGGAAAGCATGAAAAACAACCCAGAGCCCAGGCCTACTGAGGGCATCATAGGCCTTAACCAGGTCAATAAAGCACACACATGGACTAACACACACACATGGACTAACACACACACAGCGACTGATACGCACACAAATGGACTGACACGTACACACACAAACACTTTGACGTACACACACACACATCGGGCATTGTCCATTCGAAAAAGACAGACACACACACGGACTTAAACACACGCAAGGCCCTACACGCACACACATATGGACTCAAACACACACACACACATGGACTCACACACACATCGCCGTGCACAGTAATCCCTGATGATGGCACAGCTATCAGTATCGCAGTACTACGTATGAGTAAATAGCGTGAGGTGAGCAATCAAAACAATAGAAATGCATAGAAGAAATAAGCAGAAATAATTGTAAATTAAAGAGCAGCAGTACGCACAGGTAAGTTGAGAAGCAGGCTACAGTCTAGATGATAGACTGGCAGTACGCCGACTCAATGACATAAGCATTGCTACAGTCGACATAATAACCTGGCAATACGGGCAGCAGCTGAAAAAGCAGAATACAGTCGACATGAAAGGCTGGCAGTACACTGAGTGAGGTAAAGAAGCAGGCAACAGATTATAGACTGGCATAAACTCATAATGGTAACAAGGAAAATTAGCAGTGTAGATAATAGTGGCAGTGCACTGACGTTAATGAATCAGCAGGCAGCAGGCCACATGAAAGACTGGCAGTAACACCGGTCGCAGCGTCATAAAAGCACAGCTGAGAAAGGGAATATTTAGCAACCAACCAATAAAAAATTAACCCGTAAAAACAAAGTTTTTCACTATAAATCCTTTATATGCGTGGCGGCTAAAGTCCTCTCGTCCTCTGGCTTGAGATGGCTGCCACCTATGGGTCAGATGATTGCTTGCCACCATTAAGCAATTGATAATTACATATAATTTTTTTTTCCTAAAAAAAGTAACATTTTGGAAAAAATTCACGAAAATTAATTGTCACGCACAACGAGTCTGTGTGCAAAATGTCAGCTCGATTGGATCACGGGAAGTGGGTTAAAAAACGACCGAAAGATTTGCACGGTCGTAAGCAAGCAAGCACGCAAGCAAGCGAACTTAATATAAAGGATTTAAAGAAGTATAACCCGTAAAAACAACGTTTTTCACTATAAATCCTTTATATGTGTGGCAGCGAACTTAATATAAAGGATTTAAAAATATATTCGCCTGTGGACGACGCGGGGATCGATCCCGCGACCTTTGGCATGGGAAGCAAGGGCGCTACCAACTGCGCTACTCCGCCACGGCCTGTGGAGGGGTTACGCTCTGGGCTCTTATACTGTGACGTTCAACCAAAGCCAAGAATGAGTTCTATTTGAATATATGTTAAATAAAAAAAATTTGCCTAAAAAGTGTAACATTTTGGGAATTTTTTTTCACGAACATTAATTGTCTGGCACAACGAGTCTGTGTGGAAAATGTCAGCTCGATTGGATCACGGGAAGTGGGTTAAAAAACGACCGAAAGATTTGCACGGTCGTAAGCAAGCAAGCACGCAAGCATGCGAACTTAATATAAAGGATTTAAAGATATGTTTTGTGCAAACATTATGATTGTAAAATCTGTCAACTTATATGTTTGATAATAGTAAACAATGAACCTGAGTTGTTATCTGCACACAAACATTATTATTGTAATATCTGGCAACCAATTAGTTTAATAATAGTAAACAATGAACCAGAGTTCTTATGTGCACACAAACGTAATTATTGTAATATGTTGCAACCAATTAGCTTAATAATAGTAAACAATGAACCTGAGTTGTTAGCGTCAGAAGCAAGGCAATTTGTACTTAACATAGGCTTGGTGAGGCCTAGTCCCGTGAGGAGCCCTCGTCCTGGCCTACATTGCCGAGGCAGGGGAGGCAGCACGCTGGCAGGCTGGGGGCTGGGCCACTACCCCCACACCCATCCCCCCACCCGTGCAAGAATAATGGTATCTAAGCACTCTAGTATTATTATCTAGGGACTCTGTAGTATAAACTGGACGCATTGCGTTGGGGGGGGGGGTGAAGAGGACATGAGACTGTGAAGAAAAATCCGCAGCGTTATGTGTGTGTGTCCTGCATGTTAAACGCGTATCACTTGGCAGGGTCCACGCAATTGGCGTCACTTGGTACGGTCGAGCTCGAACAAAAAGTAAATGATTAAAATAAGAATGGCATGAAATCGCTAATTAAACTAATTTAAAGTTGACGGACGGGAAAACGGAATAGCCTATTCCCACCGCGGGGCTTGGGACATGCCGCACGGCAATTTTTTCAGACTTGAACCCCACCAAGAGAGCCTAATCCCCCGCGCACGCGCGTGTGTGTACGTGTGTGTGCACGTGTGTGTGTGTACACACACGTGTGTGTACGTGTGTACACACGTGTGTGTACGTACGTGTGTGTGTACACACGTGTGTGTGTACACACGTGTGTGTACGTACGTGTGTGTGTACACACGTGTGTGTGTGTGTGTACGTGTGTGTACACACGCGCGTGTGTGTGCACGTGTGTGTACGTGTGTGTGTGTACACACGTGTGTGTGTGTGCACGTGTGTTTGCACGTGTGTGTGTGCACGTGTGTGTGCACGTGTGTTTGCACGTGTGTGTGTGCACGTGTGTTTGCACGTGTGTGTGTGCACGTGTGTGTACGCGTGTGTGTGTGTACGTACGTGTGTGTGTACGTGTACGTGTGTGTGTACGTGTGTGTGTACGTGTGGAAGCGAAGTGGTGGTGGTGGATGGGGGTTGGAGCGCGGCTCACCGGCGATGACTGCGGGGCTGCGTTGACCGCCCTCTGGACGGGCCCACACCTCCACGGTTTGCGTGTCTCTCTCTCATCATCACGGTGGCTAGGAGATGTTAACTACCTCGCCGGGTGTACAGGAGGTCGTGAGTTCCATCACGACCCTGATGATGCCTGCTGCTGTATACTTGGAGTTTGCGGTGTTTCTCTCATCACGGTGGCTATGAGATGTTGACTACCTCACCTGGTGCGCAGGAGGTCGTGGGTTCGATCCAGACCATGGCGACGCCTGCTGCTGTATATTTGGAGTATACCCGGGGGGGGGGGGGGGGGGATGAAGTCTCCAAGGCTAAACTAGACCCCCCGGGGGTTTAAACTCGACTGGGCCAGACCATACCGCTCCTGGCCAGACTATGCCCATGTGAAAGTTCACAGGCAATTATCCAGACAGAGAACAGGCGACAACGAACTTCAATCGATATCTAAAACGCGTACGCGTGGAAGTAAGAATCTAAATTTGATCAATTGAAGCATTTTTAGGGTTCAGGGGTTATTATTAAAGTTTTTTTCTGGTTGAAGCAGTCAAAGTCGATGTGTTTACAGTTTAAAATAAAATGTTGGAAAAATTTAGTAATTCACGTGTATATCGCTCTAACGCCATTACTATCACGGGGGTATGATTTGGTCTAGAGGGGCATCATTTGGCCTAGCCAATAATATTCCCGGCTATAATCTAGCCTAGGCCGTTTAGACCCCGGGTATACTACACCTGTGGGTATACTACGGCCTGTGGGTATACTACGGCATTTGGGTATACTCCGGCCTCTTACACCGGGTAAAGTCTCGTAAATGGAATGACCATTGTCAGCCGTGATTGATCTATGGCTGAATGAAAGCCTCCCCAGCTATCGTCATCTCTCAAGATCCCAACACAGGATTCTGTCACGTTGACAAAAGACAAATAGTTCACTGCAGTCACGAAAGCTTTCAATCAAAAGATGCACACATTTATTTAAAAGCAAACGGGCATGTGTGGATACTACCCTTAGACCTGTATCACAAGAACAACGGGTCTCACCTGAGTGATCTGTACAGGTTACTTCCAAAAACACAAACTTTGTCCTAACATCACTTATTCAATGTTTGACCCTTACAAATAAAATGTTGCATGTACACAAAATCAGTGTTCATTCTAAATTATTGACAGACATTTTCCATTTTAACAAAATGTAATTACTGCAGTGAAATATACTGCACCAGGTTAAGCTATTTCAAATAATTATGCACCGTCTGCTTAACAGTGGATGTAAAACATACTATTGTGTCATTCAAAACGAGTAGGCCATTGCATGCTTGCGTCTCGAGTCAAAATGTAGCAAATTCTCAACATTACCGACAAATTACACAACTGAGATGAAACATCATCGCCCCCTACTGACAGGCTCTTGTTCACACACTCTTTGGTTCTTTCAGTAAAGTCATGTCAGTAGCAAAAATAATAGATCAGGAAGTTTAGATCGTAACACAGGGATCTACCCAACCCACAGGGAACACAAAGACTGGCCGCTCACTCTTACTCTGCAGGTTGAACCCAGGAACTGAGTGTTCAACTTCACATTCTTGTCATTAAAGGCCTGTGACAAGGGTGCATCTATTGGAGCGACATCGTCTCAAGCTTACACATCTACCGGGTCTCCATTTGACTTTGTGTTGTCTCGGAGGAAGTCCACCCACACCTCCACTTCCACAAACTGCTGGGAGTTGCCTCGCTCTGCCTCACAGTCAGAATTCTCCTCCTGCTTCACGTTGCCTCCATCGATGTGAAGGTCCCATTTTGGAGTTGAATCTTCATCTTCACATTTCACCATCACCTCTTCACATTCCAACTTCACCTCTTCATATTTCACCTCTTCATATTTCACCTCATTACCTTTAAAAGTGTCCAAGCTGGAATTTTCTTCTGGTTCTTGTTTGATGAGGGATGGGCTCATTGCAGCACTTTGACTTTCACAAGCTGATTTCAGACTCCACTCCTTGTGGATCTTCTGATGCTTGTGTCTTCTCTGGTGTACATGAAGATGTGCTGACTGTGCAAACGCCTTCCCGCACGGAGTGCACTTGAAGGGTTTCTCTCCCGTGTGTGTTCTCTGGTGTGTTACAAGATCAGATGAATGTGCAAACGCCTTCCCACACACACTGCACTTGAAGGGTTTCTCTCCCGTGTGTGTTCTCTGGTGTGTTACAAGATCAGATGAATGTGCAAACGCCTTCCCACACACACTGCACTTGAAGGGTCTCTCTCCCGTGTGTGTTCTCTGGTGTGTTACAAGATTACATGACTTTGAAAACGCCTTCCCACACACACTGCACTTGAAGGGTTTCTCTCCCGTGTGTGTTCTCTGGTGTTCTACAAGAGCAGATGAATGTGCAAACGCCTTCCCACACACACTGCACTTGAAGGGTTTCTCTCCCGTGTGTGTTCTCTGGTGTTCTACAAGAGCAGATGAATGTGCAAACGCCTTCCCACACACACCGCACTTGAAGGGGTTTTCTCCCGTGTGTGTTCTCTGGTGTTCTACAAGAGCAGATGAATGTGCAAACGCCTTCCCACACACACCGCACTTGAAGGGTTTTTCTCCCGTGTGTGTTCTCTGGTGTGTTACAAGAGTAGATAACTGTGCAAACGCCTTCCCACACACGCTGCACTTGAAGGGTTTCTCTCCTGTGTGAGTTCTCTGGTGCCGTGTCAAGTTTGCAGTATGATCCGTGCTGTATGCACACCGGTCGCATCGATGCCTTTTTGCACCGAGCTGTGCCGAGTGCCTTTGCTCCATCAGACCAATTCTGCAGAGGAAGCAACAGCTGCAGACAGAAAAAAAGAATATCCACACCATCTACACGTCAGTATCGAGGCACAGCGGAATGCATATATACACAGTCACACGTGACTTACACGTCTATACTTATTCATAGATATTCATGATATAGTGAAAAAGTTTACCAAATTCATCACACGGGCTGTTATGGCACACAATGAGAGGGCGAATGGTCACAAACATGCCTGGAAGCTCTTGTATCTTCAAAATGAATGTTAACCCAAAACTCCGAGAACACAATTTCGGCTGTCAAGCTACAAAAGGAATATTTATGAAAGCTAAATTCAGCTGACATAGCAAAGGGTGTTGAAAATAATACTATTTGTGTTATGCAGAAATGCATAAATTAATGTTAAATCGCAACTTAGAGGTGTGAAGCCAGCCAGGCTCACGATGTCCTGATTGCTGAGATGAGCAGATCTGACTTCAGCTGCTGCACGTGTGTGCTGTGTCAACTTCTTGACTTTTTCCATTCTTATAAAGAGTTCCAGAGGAAACCAAAAACAAACTATTGTTGTGATATAACCTCCGTGTTCAATAGAGTTAATAGATTTTCTTGGTTCTGTCGGTAAAGTCACGTAGAAGGGAAATAATAAAATAATATAAAATAAAACATAATAAAATAATTCTCACGACGTTTCGGCCACAACGCAAGCAGCCGTCCTCAGGTGAAAACAGGTCTATCAGAAAACCAGGTCTGTCAGACCTGGTTTTCACCTGAGGACGGCTGCTTGCGTTGTGGCCGAAACGTCGTGAGAATTATTTTATTATGTTTTATTATTTTATTATTTCCCTTCTACGTGACTTTACCGAAAGAACCCAGAAGATGTAATATTGTTTTGATATAACGTGCGTGTTCAACAGAGTGAACAGACTTGACTCTGGCACACACACTGCCATGGTAAACAGCAGCAGGGGTTGTCCCCTCCACATTTAGAGTCAACATGAGCACGCGCTCAGCGTGTTTGACAGACATTGACACACGTAGTCTTGGTTCTAAAGTCACGTAGATAGCAAATACAAATAACAGATAATGGAAATAAACAAAGACCACTTGTGTTGCGGTCAAAACGTCGTGGGTTTTTTTGCTTTATTTGCATTTGTTTATTTAATTTAACATTTTTATCTGTTATTTCATTTTCTATCTCCGTGACTTTACAGAAAGAACCAAGAATACGAATTTCTGCAGTTACTAAAGTTTTAAGTCAAAACATTGACACACGCGTTGACAAAACCCCACCCACCCACCTTGTTGTTGTTGTGGGCAGGTGGCTTCTGTAAACAAGAGCGGTACAGCAGCTCAGGCGGGCTTGGGC